ATTTTTTTTTAAATTCATGTTATTTGATAAAAATTTATTATTTTCAGTTAAAAGACAATAAAATTGCAGGTACTAATATTGTTTAAATTATTAAAATCATTGCAAAGGTAAAAAAAAAATATTAATCATAAGCTCCCCTTATTACCCATAGAATTGCTTTTTTATTAAAAGTTGTTATAAAAAAATATTAAAACTATGGTAAATATAACATTGAATTTTAAATGTCTATAGATTGATTTAATTCACATTAAAAAATGTAATTACAAATATTATATAACGAAGTAATGCGTTTTAATAAAAACTACGATTGTAAGCAGACGATGTAAATAGACAATTTAGCTACTGAAAGTTTAACCAGTATGATGTATGTAAACATCAATGTAGTATTATAATAACTACGGGTTTTATACTCTTGTAGGTTTAAATATGATGATGTTTTAAAACATAGTAAGTTTAATAAAATACATTATAAGTTTACAGTAAATTAAAATGATTCTCACTGGCAAAAAAATAAAATATGTTTGAATTGACACAATATAATCATTAACAAAAACTATGAATTTCGATTGTAAACTAAATTTYTGTGTGTTTTACTAGTATGGTGTATGCAAACATCTATGTAATATTATAATAGGTAGGTACCTGCAACTGTTGTTTATGGCTATAAATGTTTTATAACATAGAAAATTTAATAAAATACATTGCGTTCATGACAAACAATCAATCATACTGACATTGTCAAAGGCAAATCATAATGTTAGAATATCAAATTGTTTTAGTAATATAAGCTCGACTTTACAGGAAACTGACATTTTATCATTTTGAATAAGTTTTTTTTTTTAATATTTGTTGAACAAATAACATAATGATTAAGAATGGCCTATGCGTTATAGTAAAAATAATGAGACCACGAGGTTCTATTAACATTTCATAGCTATTTCTTTATCAAAAAATGGGTGACAGAATATGGAAAACTTTTTCAAAAGTTATAATATTCCTTCTAATCGAATGAAAAATAAAACCAAAAATTAATTTCATTCCAATTCTTTGAGAATTGTATTTTTTCTTTTACTAGAATAAAAATTCAATTGTTGTTTTTACTCCAATGCTGAAATATTGTGCACCATCGACCACAATATGAGACACTAATACAACATGTAAATCATACTGACTGTGTAATAAACATTTTGTTATTCAACACTCTACAAACTGACTCGTACTTAAAATATTCTTCGAAAATAGAAAAGAAATTCTCCTTTGTTACCAACCGTGTAAACGGTTGAATAATGGTTTTAAGCTTTGTGTACACGAACTAAAAAGGGTCTTATGATTCCAGGCTTCTGCTTTATGATTTATGAATCGATGTAGTTTTGTAGCATTAACTTAACTTTCAGATTTTCATCTGTGGTAATTCGAAACAAACATTTATGTTGACTTTGTAATGCATCAAAACTGGCGTTAAAAAACATGTATTTCAGACTTTATTTATTGTTATTATCGTCTTTAAATACGAACACTCAACTCAACTGATTATAATAAAATGAAAACGTTGTACTAATTTTTATTAATAGTTATTGATCTTAAAGCTATCAATCATGTTTATATCGTTTTTTTCACATTTTTCAATTTTCATTATGTTTAAATTTGTTTTTTTATTCTAATTTTAGAGAATAATTATTATAAAACTATAATGATTTTTGTAAACGTATTTATAAATATATCATATTAAATTGTAAA